TGATTGATTGTTGAGCAATGACTGTGTTTTATTTTGATGCGCTAAACTTTTGGTTTAATAAAAGTTAATTTAGAGAGTTTTTAAACCATTTAGATGCATGTAATTTGGGGTTGTTTGGCAAATGAATTTTGCCAAGTTTTTATAAGTTTTTAAATAATTTTAACTACATTAACATTAAAAAACTCCTCAAAGTTTTTAAAATACACATCTCAAAATACCAAAAACACACAAAAAAAATTTTTTTTTCCTTCTTTCCTTTTTTCTTCTTCCTTCACCCACCACAGCCTTCGCCATCAGCCAACACCAACTGGCACCTCTGTTGATGTTAGCACCGGTTTTCTTTCTTTTTTTCTCTTTTCCCTTTTCTCCTTCCTTTTCCTTTCTCCCTCCCTCTCCTCCTCCTGTCCCCTCTTCGCTACCGCTCCTCCTCCTGTCCCCTCTTTTCTTCTCCCTATCCCTTCCCCTTGTACAATTTGGTCGCGTGACCAGATCGCTAGTCATAGTGATTAGATATTTAGATCACGTGGAAATGGGAGGGGAAATGTGGCAGATGGAGGGGGAAGAGGTGGTGGAGGAGAGGGGAAGAGAAGAAGGGAGGGGAGAAGGTTGGGAGAGGAGGGAAAAAGAAGAAAAAGAGGGGGAGAGAGAACAAAATATATTTAAAAAAAAACTCCATCTGTTGTCAATGCTGGACGTCGACAAAGGTTTTGGCGACCGGCGATAGAGAGGGAGTAAGATCAATGGTGGGGTGAGGGAGATGAAGATAAGAGGAAAAAAAAGGAAAAAGAAAAAGAAAAAAATTTACACACCCTAAAAAGTTTTGGATTAATGTTTCCTACACTGACAGCGTATACACTGTCAATATTGAATAAATGACAATTATACAAAATTTGAATTTGAAATTTAACTTTTGCACACATGTCATGAATCCAACGATGATAATGTATACACTGTCAGTGTATATAAGATTTACTTAAAAGTTTTTCTACAATTTTTACTGTAAGCTACAATAAAATTTTAAACAAATATCCAAAAACCTCAATCAACTACCTCTAGAGTAGTTGGTCACTAGGGAGAGGTTTAAAACTCTCCTTGAGTGTAAGTCAATGAATCAAATCTCTTAGTTTGCATTTTTCTTTAGGATTTCTTGAAAAAATTCAACAGCGAAAAATCCAAAAAACTCATTTGGTTTTCATGAAGAATTGACTAATTCCACAATGCACCCCCAAACTTGTACATTTTTCCACTTTGCGCCCTAAATTTTGATTTTAGACAATTTGCACTTTAAACTCTTAATTTTGAATATTTTGCACCCCAAACTCTCAAGTTTGTCCAATTTAAGTCTAATCGATGACTATATTTGCAAAATTAATGAGATAAAGAGCGGTGAAAATCAATGACAATATACTATTTTATTCTAACAATGATCTCTTAACTTTTTTCACTAATTTTAATACATTATCATTGATTTATGAAGTCCAAATTATTTATATTATTAATGAAATTTATGAGATAAAAAATGACACAAATTAACAATAATATATTGTTTTATTTTTGTTATGATACATTAGCACCTTTTGAGAACTTTCAACATATTATCATCGATTTGTTCGGTTCTCTATATTATTTATTTTACTAAAGTTATTATTGGTTGAATTTAAATAAAACAAATTTAAGAGTTTAGGGTGCAAAATATTCAAAATTAAAGTTTAGGATGCAAAGTGAGAAAGTATACAATTTCAGGAGTGCAAAATATAATTAGTCCTAAAGAATTTGATAGGGTTAATTATCACGTTTAACAAGTGACTTATGGTGCGTCTAAAAACTGAATTTGAAATCGAAGTTTGAATTTATTAAATCACTAAATGGTTAAGTACTAAGGTTCCGTTTGATAAAACTGAATCTAAATTCTAAAATCTGAATATTAAAACAATTAATTTGCTGAATTTTAAGCACTGAAAAGAAATATATGAATGTCTGAATCTTAATACTGAACCTATTTATACTGTTTGATAAACATTTAAAATTGAATGCTTAATAAGCTAAATTGTATATTTTTGCCCTTCTATCTTTTCATCCAAAAAAGAAATAAAATTTATGATTTAATTAACTTAAAATTGTTAGGTATAAAACTGGCAATATTTATTTTTAAATCAAATTAATATAAAAGATGAGATATATTATGAAAAACATTACAATCCAATAATTCATATAACATCTAATATTTTGAATAGAAAATTTAGAATTAGATAAGGATTTTAATTAGATAAGAATTTTAAATAGAGAATATTATGTTGTTTAATTGGATAAGGATTTTAAATAGAGGATATCAGGTTGTTTAATTAAATAAGAATTTTGAATGTAATTAACAAACAATGGTAGATTTAATAGATAAGATAAGGTCATTGAAATAAATTTGTTGAATTAAGTGTTCAGTTACGATTCTTGTGTTGAAAAAAATACACACAAATTCAGAACCACTTAACAAGTTGAGCAAATAAATTTTTATTTATCAAACGTCCATAACTTCTGAATGTCTAAAAAAGTTCAGTTTCAACAATCATATATATATATATATATAATAAAGTCGTATCCTCATATTTATCCCTTTGCATTTTCTCTTTCCTACGTGGCTTAATGAGACGGCAAGTAGTTTCCTACGTGGCTTGCTACTTTTTTGTTTGGATGTATATCAATTCTTATTTCCTATAAGAATTCTTAATATTATATGATTCTTATTTCCTACCCAAAAAAGGAACTAAAAAGTAATTCGATATAAATAAAAGAGACATAAATCTTCTCTATTAGATATATAGGAATAAATCATAATATATATTTTTTATAGTGTCCTTTTTTTTAATTTTTTTTACAGCTTCATCATACATTTTTTTTATTTTAAGATAATCTACCCATATATAGAACAACGTACAAACAATCTAGACATGAAAATTAAAGAAAGTTAGCCCAAGAAATTTTTTACAAAACTTACAGTCCCTATGCATAATTGATGTACAAAGAGAAATGGCACTTCATCTGATTGAAAATTTCTGGAAAAGTCCATAAAGAAAATGTTAACCTTTTTATCATTTTAATTGTTACAATATCTAGATAAATATAACTTTTAGAATAGGTGTATTTATACAGGTATATGTTAAAAGTCTTGGTAAGTGATGCAACTGGTAGTGCTTGGTTTGGTATTTTTGATCAAGAGGCTGAAAGAATAATAGAACACAAACTTTCTTTTATTTTTGACGAATTTAACAAGGTAAACTTATATCTAATTTTTAATAAGGATTAATTTTTCCTACACTGATAGTGTATACACTATCAACATTGGATGAATGACAACGATGCAAAATTTGAATTTGAAATTCAATTTTTGCACACATGTCATGAATCCAACGATGATAGTGTATATACTGTCAGTGTAGGAAATATTTACTCTTTTAATAATAATAGACAATCCGACACTTATTTTAGCCGTTGAATATTCTAACAAAAAAAAAAATCTATTATGCATTTCATTTTCAGGAAGGGTTTAGCAGTGAAATCGTATCATCAATTATAAATAAGATTACGTGGAAATCTTTTGTGTTCCAAATCATCTTGAACAATTACAATCTGGAACAAGATAATAACAGATTTACAGTGACTAGATGGTTCCACTGTGATTTCGGGAGGAAAACGCATTTCATGCTTTTACAGGTAATGTGCAATAAATTTTTCTTATATTTCACATATTATATCTCATATAATATTTTTGTCTTTAATTTTGATAAATCATTATCAGATTGGTGGAACCGACAACCAATACCAACCTGAAACATTTTCTTCCCATATCCCAATTAGTATAACAGATGATTCTAATCAACAACATTTCAATACACTTCATATGAATCATTCATCAGAGGGTTCAATAAAAATCACAGAGGAAAGGAATTCTCATAAAAAGATTTGCATGAGAAAGTAGATTTAATATACTATTTTACTTTCTTAAATTATAATCTTTACATATTGTTATACATAATTTTGAATGCGATAAATCATTTTTTTCCAATACTTAGTTATCCTGCTTTGCTATCATGCAGCGATAATGGAAAATTAATAAATGCTGATTTGCACGGACAGATCGAGGAGAATGTTCAAACAAAAGAAAAACAAAAACAAATTTATGAAGAATAGAATATTATTTGACACTATTCACTGCACTTTTTATTTATTTTCAAGTTTTTAATATTATGGTATTGTTAAATGATATTTTTTCTATTTTTGAATTATTATTCACTGAATTAGATGTTCAAATTTATATTATAAGAATACTTTGTATTATAATGCGCACATAATAATATATTTAAGATAAGTTATAATAGATTATACATTAAATTTTTATTTTATATCGACATTTTTATAAAATTAACTAAATAGTTTATTATTTTTCGATGATTCCCGTTCAACGAACGGGTACAAAACTAGTTTTTTATATTATCAAACAAACTCCAAATATAATATATATGAGTGTATATCATATAAAGTGATAAGTGAATAGTTTATCATTTATTTTTTTAAAATAGTTTTATTTAGAAAATTTAGTTCAACTAGGTCATGTTTGATAACCCAATTTAGTACTTAAATTTAATGGATTCAGATCTTAACATGTTCAGACACACGTTTGGTAATCAAAAATTAAACATCTGAATTAATTAAGTGACACTGAATTTCCTAGGTAAAGCTTGCTCTAAAAAATAAGTAATAAGTTATTCGCTTATCACTGAATGTGATATATGTGACAGCCCCACCTCCCCCTAAGGCGAACCAAAGGGTTCGGCGGACCGCCTGCCTAACTCTCGCCGGGACTACGGATCCGGAACGAGCGTAAACCCTACCAACCGCTCAAAAGAACTTCGAAAAGATAACATTCACTGTCCGAAACCCAAACAGGCACAACAACTTTAGATAACCCTAGAAAAGAACATTTCCAAACCAAATCAACTTAGAAACATGGTTAAACACTTTTTATATACACATGGTTGCAAATTTACAATTCAAAAGGGAATTGTTTGGTTAAAATACATTTAAGGTTTTCCATACATTGAGGAGCTACACAAAAGAAGATTCAAACTAGCTCAACTCATGTTTCAACATATCAGAGTCTCCAAAATGTGGTTTCCTATAAGGAAAACAAGGATAACGGAATGGAGTGAGTTAGAAGCTCAATGAGGTACCAAAATAATCACAGTCAAGAACCAAGGAACTTCACGCTCAATTAATCACATAGGTGTATCAAATAAGGAGAGGAACCAAACAACTTAGATAAAAGGATACAGATGACTCTCAGGAGCCAAATTTCCCGTTGCAGTACTTGATCCGACTACGTTGACTCTCCGTCAACTTTCAAATAAGGAAACCAGTCCAGTAGAACACCACTTTATCGCCAAATCCTGTTCACCAATCACACCCCTTACCAGGCCCGAACTACAAATAGAAACAGAAATGGTAATACTCGAGTATACCGGAATCAAGAGTCTCAATACTCAAAGATTCTATAAAAACAGGCATCCACAGATTGTCAATTTCCTCGACCAAGCCCTTGCATGGCTCGATTTAATTAACTCCCCATGAGGTTGAACTCAGGTTTAACAAGGAGGCCGTTGGACACATTTCCAAACGACATTATAACAAGTGCAAGTAATAGGCTCAAGTTCATAACAAATACAAGTAATAGTTCTCAATTGGTACAACACAGGCAAGAGAACGAGTGTGATAAAGTACACCCTCGTTTCAATCAAATTAAACAGGATTCATAGTCATTCATGTCATAAATTTCAAGTACAGATAACTCAAATAGCAACAATGCAAGGGAGTGGTACACTCACCAGTTCAAATAAGGATACTTCAAAAGTTTCCTTCCCAAGTGTGGCTTTAATCGTCGGCACCTCCTAGAACAATCAAGACAAGCACTTAAGACTCGACTCCAAGACCTAGTATGGAATTCGCAATTGAGATTCGGTTACGAGCCATATGCCTAGTCAAAAGAGCCATTAATGCAAAGCAAAGAGGTGACCTCGGAGTGAAAAGGTAACAATTAATTTTAAAGGCATGAACAACCTCAAAACCCTACCTACAATGACTGACCAACTCCAAATGTGAAGTAGAAAATGAAAGGAAAATCAATACTAGGAAAATAGGATTTTCCAGTTTCGCGCAACCCTATATGAAAAATCATATCTCAAGTTTTGTAAGTCCAAAATTAGTAAAAGTTATACCGTTGGAAAATACATTCAAAAGGCTATAACTTTTCAGAGAATACCCTCATAAGATTCGGAACGCAAGTCAGTCAAATTCAAGTCTCAAGTTGCTGCTTTATCCAGTGAAAGACAGAACAGGTACCATATTTCAGTCAACTTTGAAAAATCACCAGAAATTGTACAGACAGAAACAGGGTCTGAAATTTATACGGTTTATAGCCCTATGAATCTAGTTTAAAACGCAACAAACGGAACTTAATCCCGACATTTCTACATCAAGATATAGCACATTTTCCGAAACTGTGCAGAAGCTCCACAAAAATTTTGACAGCATTTCCCTTGTCTTTCTTTACTTTCCATTCAAACCTCAACACCCACAAATCACAAGCTATCAAACACCTTAAATTAGAGCCACAACAAGGCTCGAATACGAGTCGATTTCGAGTCATAAACCGAATCCACATATCACTAGAGTAAAATAATATGGAACGTATAAGTACAAAATCAAACTAGAACATATGCGAAAACGAAGCTTGGGTTGGTAAACAAAAGGCAGATTTGCTGTTGCTTAGCGGAATTAACACAACTAAAGCTATCCTTATCGGATTGAGGTGTAATTTACACCGTTTTGAAGCTAAGAGAAAGGGTTACAATGTTGATGAAGATCACTTAGTCCAAATTCCAGTGTAACCTAGTCAAATTCCCAATTCTCAGAACCAAGTTCCAACTAATCTGCTAATTAACCGTACTATATTTAAATGGCCATATCTCAGGCTACAAAAGTCTATTTAAGGCGTTCTTAGAGGCGTTGAAAAGCTAAAACAAAGACCTACAACTTTCATGAAGACCACTCAGTCTAGTTCTCACGTTAACTAGGTCAAATTTACCAAAATAATTCCAGATTTTCCAGTTCAAAATTCACTGCGGAAATCAACTAGCAGTCCTGCTTTATTCACTCATATCTCATCACACATAACTCCAATTCAGGTAATTCCAAAGCCATTTGAAATCTAAGATACAAGGCTATAATTCTTAAGAAGACATCATCAACCAATTCGATAACATTCCTGGTCAAACTAACCAATTACATAAGCTGATTATCAGTTTCGGACAGAAACAGGGCAGCAGGGGTATTTCGGTCTTTTCATAGATTACGTTGCTGCGATTGAGCTGAAAATTTACAGGCAGCTAGTTAACACCATTTGCTACAACTTTCATGTTTTAACCTAAGCCTGATTCGGCATCTAACATGTTCAAATAAAATCGGACAGAAACAGGGTCATTCAAATCCCTAACCTGGAATTTCCATAATACTACTTCCAACCATGAAATATGCTCATAAACTACCAAAACTACAACTTTATACCACTAATTAGCAATTAATTGAAGTAAAGAAGAGGTTCTTGGCAAAATACCTTATCTTCCTATAAAAGATGGTAGCTTAGACTTTGTCCTCCAAAAATAACTCCACAAACACCTTGGAAACTACCTGAAAAGTAAGTTTTATGGAGTAGTTTGGAAATTAATCGGTTGAAACTCAAGATTTGGACAAGAAATTGAAGTGGAAGATGAAGAACTCTTTTGGTTTCTCTCTCACTAATTTCAGCCAAAGGAGACAAGAAAATGAATGAATTTTGGTCAATTTTTGGTATTTATTTGGTAAAGGTGATAAGATGGTCTTATGGTCAAAATGTAAGAATTAATCAACAAGTGACACTTGTCACTTCAATTAATACATGGTTATCCTTTTGTCTCTCCACTCTCATCCATATAATAACCTCTAATTATCTCTTAGCACCTGGTAAAATAAACCCGGTATCCAAAACTTAATCTAACTGGCCAAATTTTTCCGAACTTTCCGCACTAGTGGGTCCCACGTCCGGTATATGCTCTTAATTTCTCAAAAACCAACCGATACTAGAAAAATCATCTAAAAACTATATTTAATCATAAAAATTATTTAGAAAATTTTTCTAATAAAGAAAATGCATAAAAGGCATACAATTAAATAAAATTAAGTCTAGAAAATCAAAAAATTTACGGGTTCTCACAATATATACTCAAATGTATTATATTTAATACTTAACAACTCAATAATTTAATGGATTCAAACTTTAAATTTTAAATTTCAGATTTCAGTATTATTAAATGTTCTCTAAATTAATTCAGATGTTCTATATTTTATTATCAAACACATCTAAATATGTTAAGATTTAAACCCATTAATTTTACGTGCTTAATTGGATTACCAAACAAAACCTTACTTTGTCAACCCAAGTACCTAACCCATGAGCAAGCAGGTTTAGTAGACTTATCTAAGAAGTAAAGAGCTTTTCTTAAAGCTCTAGCATCTAGTGGTTATTAAATATCATAAATTTACTTATCTAAGAAGTAAAATATCATAATTTTATTAAATCTGCACTAGCATCTAGTGGTATACATAGATACAGACAGATGTTAAATACATAAGAATGAATGCTAGAAATTAATAAAAAATAAAAATTACACCTTGAAATTTTAGATACATTCAAAGATAAAACAGTATAGGTCCGAGCCATTTATGTATTTTTCAACCACCTACGCCACATATGCTAATTAACTGCTTCAGACGCCGTTATTATGGTGAGATCTAATGAAATAAACCTAAAAAATCTCATATCTGATAACTAATCTGTAAAAAACTCAAATCTAACAAAAGTAATTAAAAACTAAAAACTCTCATTAAAAATCTCTCTGGGATAGAAGAAAATTTTCATTAGAAAACTTTAAAAGAGAAGAAACTCTCACTATATAGCTTTATGAGAGAAGAAACTCTTATTAGATAATCTTAAGAGATACTCACTACACAAAAAGGAAAGCAAAGATAATCATGAAGGAGGAGACGAATGGAGATTGATCACCCTCTACCATTCTATGAAGAGGATTAGTTGCTAGAGGTATCTATCCTACAGTATATCTTTTAGATTCAACATCAACCATGCTTCAACCTTGGAGAATGAAGCTTTGCTTGCAAGGAAAAATAAATTTTTTTTTCTAAGGAGGAGGATAATTCAGATTTAGGAGGAGTGATGTTCAGCAGTTATGAGCTTGGTATGAGGGTTTGGTGCCAACTAGCTGCCAATTGACATCCTTAATTCTATGAATTTAACCAACTACAATGCATCACCATCATCAACCACTAGAGTCCAACAAGAATGAAACTTGTTAATGGTAGCTATATGTCTTGTCGTTCTGGGCTGCCCCCCAGCAGATCATTACTTTTTCATCTGGGCTGCCTCCCAGCAGGGCTCATCATTGATGTTTGGTACACCTATTTCACAATGCGGCAAAAGCCAAAATCCATAACAAGGCAGTGTAAATTTTTATTTGAAATTTTAGATATTCATTTCAATTTTCAAATCAACTTTCTATAGACTGATTATCATCATTAAATGCATGATAAGTAATTCAAATTTAAATTCAAAATTCAAATTTTATATACATGTCACGCATTTAACCATGATAATATATCCGCTTTCAGTATATAAGTTTTAACTCATTCATTAATGTGGCTACAACAAAGATCTAAATATTCGGTATAGTGATATGTTCTACTTAACCCTATATCTATGAAATATTTTATTCTCGAACAGTGAAAATATATATATATATATATATATATTGACCAGAACCATGATTATCATCCATTCTGTTGCAGATTAACCTAGATTTTTCTATTGTTACTCATATAACATTCTTGTTTCGAAATTTTGTCATGTAAAACACACTCTTTAAAGTTGGACTCAATTAACTCAATATGAATTGAACTTGATTAATTCAATATGAGTTGATTTCAAATAATAATTAAGAGAAAAAAAAACCTTGTCACAGGTAATAGGTGACTAGTAGAAACTCAACCTTAATTAAACAACCTTTACATGTTTTTACATTAGCAGATATATATTATATTACATAATATGAATTCAAATTTGAAATTCAAATCACGCATACATATTATAAATTCATAGTTGTTAATATAAAAAAAATCACAATATTGCCAGTGATTAAAAGTTAATCTAATATTTACCAATTGAGACTATGAAGAGGCATATGGTCCACAGCTGCAGGTGTTAAAAGATTTGAAAGTATGGCACCCTTTACATGTACCTCATATGTGGCAAACAATGGACAATGATGAATATGAGAATGTGATTAGATTGTAAGGTTTATAATGACAAAAGTAGATGACACTTTTTTCTGTGTGGCAGGAGAAGACATAAAAGGAGAGAATATTCGAAGGTTGGAGCCATACATATTCGTTGGCTCGGAGCATAATTTGACGAAAAGCAAAGAATTCCCTACTATGACGCAATAGGTATTGAATCTCTTGGAGTAGGTTTTTCTTTCAAGGAAGTCAAACTAAAGCACCGGCCGACCCAGCCATGCTTTTATATTTTTAATTTGAGAAAATCGTTCAAAACACTTTTTATTATGTGATGTATGTGAGATAATAAGTTGATTGAAAATATAAAAAGGTGAGTTGAAAATGTGTTTATGATGCAAGCGAAATATTATTTGAAATAATATGTGTATCCAAACAAACCCATTTGTTCTTTATTTTTTAAAGAGTAACTTCTACGTTTCTTATAAAATTAAGTCGATAAAATTCAGATTCAACTTTTATTTTCAATCACTTTT